ATGCAGCTGGCGGGCCGCATAGAAAAGGAGCTGAGACGCATGCTGCCCACATGCGTAGGTGGTGGCGGTTGGGTTTTTGAGGTGGGTGAGATTGATGTGTGGTGAGATGCTGGTGAAGGAGGGTGTGATTGTTTGATGCATACGGTTGCGGTCTGCTGCAGGTTTCCGTGAACGTGTATGCGACCTTATAGACCCATGAGATGAATAAGTGTGCGAGTGCAATGTGGAAAATGGAGTCGGATGCGGTGAGTGTAGGTTGGTGCTCCAGGTAATGGGCCGCCAGCCTCTGAGCCATGGATGGCAAGTGACTTACCAGTTCAATGTGTGAGGCGGATGTGCGGGGACAGTGTGGACATGAGAAATCGGCGGTGTCGGTTTCAGCTTCGGTGGTGGTGGTGGTGGTGGTGGTGGTGGTGGTGGTGGTGGTGGTGGTGGGCGCGATGGACGATGCGGTGTGGTGATGAAGAAGGAGACACGATCCCCGGGACAAGAGCTTTATTAGCCTGACGTTTCGGATTCCTACTCGAATCCATCATCAGAAACAAAAGAGCAGAAACGGGTGGTTGTTGCATGTCTCCTTCTTCAAGACTACTTCCTGGGACTCGGCTCTTCGCTTCTATTGGCAACGTATTTGATGCGGTGTGGGCTGGGGTGTGCAAAGTGGGTGTGCAGGATGCACTGATTGTGGTGGAGCTAATGGCGGTGAGTGCGCTGGTCTGCGGAGCGTGGGCGGGACTGGTCATGGTGGGTGTGCTGGGTGTATCCGGGCTGCGGCCAATTCTGCTTTCGTGGATACGCATGTGGTCGAATAGGCGCATGCGGTGCATGAATGTGCAAGGGCAATGTGGACAGTGGTAGCGACTGCGGCGAGTGTCGGTTAATGCTCAGGCACTGATACGCTAATTCCTGTCTGATGGATTAGCAAGTGACCAACCAGGCCGATGCGTGAGGTGAAGTTGCGGTCGCAATTAGAGCAAGTATAGACCAGATCCTTATCTCTGATGTCGACGGTGATGTACTTGGTGTGCCAGGATTTTTCGTAATGTTGGTGTGGGTGGCAGATGCCGCAGAAGCAGACGCTGAGGCAGTGGGGAGGAAGAGGAGGATGATGGATGTGATGGTTCGGGGGACGATCAGATTTAGTTGACGGTGAAATAGGCGAAGGACAGATGGACGGTGAGACGACAGTTGGTGGATTCCGAGTGCTGCTGTTGGTCTGTAGGTGTCCAATAAGTCCAAATGGCGCTCGGAATATCTGCTGACACCGTGGACTCGTTGGGGGCGGTGGGCCGCCGGCGTTGCGAGATGGGTGCAGCTGAGATTTGCAAGCTTCTCGTCTGGCATTCTCGGTGGCCATGCGGTTTGCCTCGTAGATCGCTCCGCCTGTCTTCATTGTCCTCCTCCAGGTCGGTCAGTCGCGGACGAGGTGTTCCCGGTTGTCCGGGTTGATCTGTAGACGCCTCAGGGAGGTCTTCGGAGTGTCCTTCTACTGGCAGATTTGGCCTCCTTGGCGGCAGGAGCTCGTGGAGACATCTCCATAGAAGAGTCGTTTGGGTTGCCGCTCATTGTCCATCCACACGAGGTGGCCGCTCCAACGCAACTGCAGTTGCATCAGCAAGGCGTAAATGCTGAGATCTTCCGTCCGCTCCAGAACGTCAGTGTCGGGGATCCGGTCCTGCCACATCAGCTTCAGTATCCGTCGAATACAGCTGAGGTGGAAGTGGTTGGGTCTTCGCGCCTGCTTCTTGTGGACCGTTCAGTTCTCTGCTCCGTATGGCAGTGTCTGCAGGATCACTGACTTGTACATCTTCAGTTTCGTGTTGAGATGAAGACCTTGACGGTTCCAGACGGTGTTCTGCAGGCGACCGAAGGCTTGACTGGCTTTGGAAATGAGACGGGCAACTTCGTCGTCGATTTTAGTGCTGCGAGAGAGGGTACTGCCCAGATGCCTGAAGCTGTCTACCACTTGCAGTTGTGTTCCGATCACGCTGATTCGCGGCACATTATGGGCTGTGCTGGGTAGCGGTTGGTGTATGACATCCGTCATCTTTGTATTGATTACCAGGCAGAAGTTGTCACAGGCGGCGTCGAAGAGTTCCGTGATCATTCGTAGGAGGAGAGAAGTTCATGAACGACAGTTGCGGATACACGCGACTGGAAGTGTATCCGCCAGTGGCTGAGGAGGTGGCCGTCGGATCTGTAAGCGACGTGAACCTCAGGAGGTCCGTCGTGGTGGACACCCATCAGCATGGCAGAAAACATAAGACTGATGAGAATATGCGCGAGGACGCAGTCCTGCTTCACTTCATTGGTCACTACGAATGCCTATGAGGCGGTTTCGTTGTCCCTAACGCGCGCCATCATGCCATCCTGGGGCAAACGCACCATCTGGATGAATCGTTCGGGACAGCCGAATTTTTGCATGATTTACCACAGTCCTTCGCGATTCACTATGCTAAGGGCTTTCGCCAGATTCACGAAGGTAGGGTAGAGGTGGGTTGCAGTTCCTGATACTTCTCCTGCAGTTGACGGTCGGCGAAGATCATGTTGGTTGCTCCACGATGACGGCGGAAGCAGCACTGGCTTTCCGGCAGGAGTTCCTTTTAAAGATGACTGATGAGACTGTTGATAAGAATGCGAGCAAAGATATCTCGACGATATTCGGCAGGGTGATGCCTCTGTGATTTTCACAGAGTTGGCGGTTCCCCTTCCGGTCGTAGAGCTGGATGAGTTATGGCGTCCTTTAAATCCTGCGGGACTCCCCCTTGACGCCACAACTCCTGGAAGAGCGCCGTCAGATGATCCATGATTTGGAGACCACCGTGCTGGTAGATCTCAGCAGGGATCACGTCCGGTCCATGCGCTTTCCCGCTGGAGAGCTGCTGCACGACCCTGATGGTTTCATGGAAAGAGGGCAGGAGGTCCAGTTCGGCGTTTGTCTCCACTTGAGGCAGACGGACTATGGCGGTGTCAGCGATGATGGGAAGAGGGTGTGGTTGAGGACGCCTCTGAAGTGTTTGGCCCATCGCTGAAGAATTTGTCTCTTCTCAGTGAGTAGGGTACCGCCGTCGGCGCTTAGAAGAGGTGCTGTACCTTTGGTTGGCGGACCCGTATACGACTTTGATCACCACGAAGATGTTTTTCCATTCGTTGCTGTCCGTGTACCCTTGGATCTCCTCGGTCTTGCGAGTATTCCGGGTGTCCTGCATCTGGGGCAGTCACTGTTGCACAAGGCGGCGACTACAATATAAAGCAGCTCACACACAGGCCGGAAGCAATCATTAGGCTCCAAGTCATGAGGCCAAAAGACCCGCTGCCACGGCAGGACACGTCTGGAGTCATTTGCCGGATCTGGTGTAGCTGCGGACAAAGCAATTATGTCGGAGAAACTGGGAGATTACTCCGTACGCGAATTGCCGAGCACGCAGCAGCAGTGAGGCGGGGAGACGCTAACTCTCAGGTGGCGGCACACTCGACGGGACCCGGCCATATTCTCAAATTTCAAGAGGCCGAAGTCCTCGCAAGGGGTGACAACCGCGTGAGCCGCGAGCTGCTCGAGTCATGGTTCTCAGGCCCGCAATCCATCAACAAGCACAATGACCTCCCGGTACCCTATGGCGTACTGCGATTTTCCCTGGGCAGGAGAATCAGTCACGTGGGGAGGGCGCGGGCGAGCAATCATCACGGTGACAGTGAGCCAGTTTGCCGAGAAATCGTCACACCAGCATCCAGCACGGATGACGAAATCGCGGCAATTAACGACTCGGACTCGGACCGACAAGCCACCACCGCGTCAATTACGACCCCAGCGGTGATTACGAGAACTGTTAATTGCAGTGCGCATACGGTCCCACGGCAGCCACGTGCTATAAATACTGCACTCCTGGTGCCACCTTCACCTCTATCTGCGAATGTCTCTGATGATGGATTCGAATGAGAATCCGAAACGTCAGGCAAATAAATTTCTTGTTCTAGTGATCGCATCTTCATCTTCTGAACTGCTACCTGGAACTCGCCTGTTCGCTTCTATCAGCTCTGTTGTCGTCGGTGGGTCGTCGACGTTGGCTTTGTGCAGTCGGCTCTTCTCGGCGAGCAGGTCGCCGAACCAGTCCTGGTGTTGACGGCGTGCACGACCGGGAACGGCCATGGCCGTCGGCTGGACTGTCTTCCGCAGTGGACACCATCGGTTCTCCACGGAGACGCTCTCGTCAGCGGCGGCGGCAGCGACTGGAAGGTTGCTTAGCCGTTGAGCTAACTCTTTGACGAAATGGAGATGGTGAGCAAGCTAAGAAAACAAGGCAATATTCAGCCTACCTGGGGGTAGCTTACCTTGAGTTCTCCTACGAGGCTGTAGGCAAATCGACAACTTCGAGATGACGAAATGATGTTCGGTCCACCCGTCGGCACCCGAAATCGCCTTTGTCACCAGCACGTTCCGTTAGTCTCGCCTCCGGAAGAGGATATAGTCCATCAGGTACCACTGGCGCGACCGAGGATGCATCCAGGTGGTCTTCTCTCGCATCGGAGGGCGGAAGAAGGTGTTGGTCAGGAGGAGCCGGTGTTCGCCGCAGGTTCGTAGAATGAGTAGGCCATTGGCGTTGAAGCCGTTGAGACCATGGGGGCCTAGCTCTCGCTTATGACTAACGATTGATGTATTTAGCATCTTATACGGCCTTTACATTGCCCACTGTTCACCCTGCTAATATTTTCACACATTTTTAAGAACTAACGGTGACTGCAGACAGCGTTTCTTTTTTCTGAAGACGTCCAACCCTCCACGAATAACTTCTCCATATAAAAATTCGCTTTCTGTATATATTTACACTTGTTGCGGTCAAGCATGTGAGATCAACTTAAACCATGCATAATAAGTTCGTTTCGTCTAATGTCAGAAGTCAGAGCCGTAAGTTGGCTGTTTCCTTGCGACAGAGATAAGCGTCCGTTCACGGAGTGTCAGTCGCGGTGTGTTGTTTACGCGTGCGTGAGTGTCTGGGTCAGCAGGAGGGGGTGACTGGCTGAGTGCTGGTAGTGTGATTGGACAAATTAAGGGAGGAATAAGGGACGCATGCACACAATGCCTCACGGGTATCAAGCCAGGGCGCTAGACGCGCGTGAGGTGATGAAAATTTGTGAGGTCAGCCGACAGTCACTGAAGTTGGACCGGAGGTGTCTGAGTGTTAGCCGGCTGGGGTGGCCGTGTGTCAACAGTTGTCGCGGCCATTGTTCGACAAAACGGAGCGGGAGAAAAGGGGGACTGGAGCGGCTGCTACACACTCTCTGGTCATTTTGCTGCTTGTACGCAGCAAACAGTCATTTCCACCGTTCGTTCACCGTTGTCCTCTTTCGCGAGGATGTGGGTCTTGTGGAGGAGATTTGCCCATAGAGTACTGATTATCTCCTGTTTGCTGGAGGCCACCACGGTAGGGGATCCTGTAGGGCACATATAGATTCAGCACAATATTCAGCAGTGGAGGAGAAAGTCACTCTAGCGCATCCTAATCGATACCGCTATGACGGGGCTAAAAGAAGGAGCAAGGGTCTATCTCTCAGGCCGATTTCTTTCCGGAGTGAAACCAAAAGACGCTGACATGCTGAACACTTCATTACGGTCCTGCCAACTCGACCTGTTTAGTCGTCTACAAGTAAACCCAGGCTGTATGGACTAAACAGACGGGAGATTGGTGTCCACTAATTCCTTTGGCTCAGATTATTGCTAGAAATTTCCATATAATGAGCTCATTTTCACTCAAAATGAATATATGTCATAAATCATTAGGACGTTGGTGGTTTCGATTTTATGTTTAATTGGATTTCTTTGAAGCATTTTTTCCCGGGTATGAATTGAAAACAAGCATGTACAGCAGAATTTATTGGGGCCAATAAATTTCGCGACGGCTTTTTAACTGCAGCCCTTCTCTGCATAACATAGGTAACGAATGAAAGCGCACAGCAGTATGAATTTGTACGGAATGGCAATGCATAAGAGCAAGGTCAAGGTTCAAGGCAATGAATAATCAGATAAGACGTCCACATAAGCATCATACAGGAAAGAGGGAGACGAAATGTTAACAACAAATCACAGTCAGGGGAAAATAGAGGTGTGAGATTACCAGGGCAATTGCAAATTGATCACGTGATCTAACTGCTTGCACAGGTTTGGTTTCTCCTTCCGTATGTAGGCTGCTTCCAAATAACGCAAGGTTCGAGTTGTATGCGCTCGGACAAGTACTCGAAAAGATGCTTTATGGTCGACAACATGACCTCTATCTAACAGGTGTTTCGTTATAGACGAGCGGGGGGTTTTGTTTTCCTGTTTGAAAAGCCATTTAGGCAAATGCTCAGCGGCTCTGGTTGCCAATTGCCTTTGCGTTCGCCCAATGTACTTGCATCCGCAAGTGCATGTGAATTCATACACACAATTTGGGGTGGCGTGCATTGGCAAGGCATCCTTTGCCCGGTTAATTGGAAGGTTTTTGTGGAACTGATGAAGATAAGCTCTGCTGCGTTATACATTCTTTCTATAGTGCAACGCAAGCGTCGTTTGATTGTGTTTGAGACGTTGCCACCCTTAAAAGGTAGACATATTATAACGGGCTTCTTCGGAACGGACTCTTCCGTCAACTTTGGCCGTAAATGGTTGCTGTACTTCTGAATGAAGCGTGCAGGATAACCACGATTATGTAAGGCTTCTTTGATTCGGGCAGTTTCTGTATCTATGATCTCCGTGGAGCAAATATTTCTCGCTCTTTGAAAAAGAGTATGTACTTGAGTACCTTTCCATTGTATTGGCGCAAAGCTTTTAACATGTAAGTATTGCCCTTTCCACGTAATCTTGTGGAAGACGGAGCGTCTTATTGAACCATCATCCTCTCTAAACATGAGGACGTCCAGGAAGGGTAACTTGTTAATAAACTGCTTCATTTCCATCGTAAAGTTGATTTTAGGATGCAGATTATTCATCAGGCAAAGTAGGTCGGAGGCGTCTTCCTTGTTGTCAACAATCGTGAATATATCATCCATGTATCTCCTGTATAATGTTGTCATGTTTAATTCTGATGACACCTTTTCTTCTAGGTAACCCATAAAAACATCGGCGAGGGTTGGCCCGAGTGGACTATCCATTGCGACTCCGTCAATTTGTCTGTAAAGTTCCCCATTAAACAGAAATTGAACATCTTTGGTGCAAAGTACCAGCAGATCTCGTAGTAGTTCGGGGGAGAGTAGGGTTTTGGACGCATGGGCGCATATAACATCTATTGTTTCATCC